TGGACAGCGCTTGAGCCCTGAGGTGTGTGTGGCTGGCAGGGCCTGTCCGGGGCCCAGAGCCCAGCATTTTGCAATTCCACTTGTTTGAATACTATGGATGCCCACATCATGTGTCAGCCCTAGGCATAGCAGAGGGTTTTCCAGGCATTCCACGTGTGTGTTCCAGGCACCACAGTTGGTGAACATGTGTGTACAAGCGTCCAAAGGACAACCTATGCCTCTCCAGGGGCCTGGGACCCCGAGTAAACAAAGACAGGGTACGTGCCCATGAGGGCAAGAGGGTGGCTCAGAGAAATCAGGTTCCACAAAAAGCAGAGACTTCGGTTTCCACTTTTAACCAAATGAACTATCTTCCTGACGCCGTGTAATTTAGGGTCCTGAGTTACTCCTGGGGAAGTCCCCAGATGGCTGTCACCTGCAGTCAGTGCCTCGGACGCCATCTGTTTGCACCAGAACCATTGTGGGAGCCAAATATTTTCCATTCCCTGGTCTGTGATCATCACCCCTCTCTCCTCTGAAGGTTTTACACCTCGCGCAGCGTGCTAAGCACAAATCACAAAACACTCATCACCTTGCAGCTTCCTTACAGTTAACAGCAGGAGCGGGACCGGCAGTGCCTCGTTTCTGAGGAGGCTCAGTCAGGATGTGTCAGAGTGTGTCCTGTTTGTACCCGGAACACAGCTGAAAATGGGGGGAGGGGAAATCCCAACAGCCAAGGGGCTGAAGTCTCAGGAATATAAAATAGAATTCATACTGTCTCTCTTAGCATGCTCTAAGTAGCCAAGTCACAGGGAAGGGGCCAAGGAGAGACAGTCAGTGTGAACCCAGGGCGTCCTGGAACCCTGAACAGCAGGGGTCCAACCTCTGTGGGAACAGAGGCCACCTAGCTACCCGTAGGAGGAATAGATGGAGTGCAGTGAGCAGGAAAGGGATAGTGCACACGCATGTGTTTGCACAAGCATGTGTGGGTGTGTCTCTGTATGTGTGATGAAGAGCTATCAGGCATATTGTCACTTTCTAGATACAAATTATACATATATATATAATTATACTTTAAGCTCTGGGATACATGTGCAGAACACGCAGGTTTGTACACATGTGCCATGGTGGTTCGCTGCACCCGTCCACCCATCATCTACATTAGGTATTTCTCCTAATGCTATCGCTCCCCTAGACCCCCAGCCCCCCAGCAGGCCCCAGTGTGTGATGTTCCCCTTCCTGTGTTCATATGTTCTAATTGTTTAACTCCCACTTATGACTGAGAACATGCGGCATTTGGTTTTCTTTTCTTGTGTTAGTTTGCTGAAAATGGTGGCTTCCAGCTTCATCCATGTCCCTGCAAAGGACATGAACTCATCCTTTGTTATGGCTGCATAGTATCCCATGGTGTATATGTGCCAGATTTTCTTTATCCAGTCTATCATTGATGAGCATTTGGGTTGGTTCCAAGTCTTTGCTATTGTGAACAGTGCTGCAGTCAACATAGGTGTGCATGTGTCTTTATGTTTTTAATGTGTACCCTACAACAATTTTTTCATTCTTTAAGGATAAGACTAATTAAATTTCAGATTATGACTTATTATATAAACTAACATGACATAGGAAAACTAAGGATGTTCATCTATTAAAAATAGGCCAGGCATTGGCTCATGCCTGTAATCCCAGCACTTTGGGTGGCTGGATCATCTGAGGTCAGGAGTTCAAGAGTAGCCTGGCCAGCATGGTGAAACCCTATCTCTACTAAAAAGACAAAAAAAAAATTAGCTGGGCATGGTGGCACAAACCTGTAGTTCCAGCCACTCAGAGACCGAGGCATGAGAATCACTTGAACACAGGAGGCAGAGGTTGCAGTAAGCCAATATCACATCACTGCATTCCAGCCTGAGTGACAGAGCAAGGCTGTCGAAAATAAGTAAATAAATAAAATAAAATATTTAATATTATCTTTGCAAAAAGCACCACGATAATGTAATATTATTAAGTTTTTGTATGACAGTTGATGTGTTCCATAAGTAAGAATTCCAAGTTAGAAATTCTTTTTAGCTTTTTCACATGTCACTGTGTTTGTTTAGAGTTGTCAAAAACACTCAAGCTTTATAATATGAAAATAAAATTATGCAATGGGGTTCCTTGTAAAAGTGGCCATTGGAAGAATAATGTGCATGGGAGTGAAGAAAGCAGTGCTCTCATTTTGAGTCCTAATGTATTCATGGTTTCTCTCCAAGCCCTGTCCAGGCTGGGAGATGCACAGGTCTGAGACTGAGCATGCTCAGTTTAACAAGGTTTGAGACATGAGTCTTGTGGACAAGCAGCATCTGGGGCCCAATATCCGCATCGGCCATGTGGCCAAGGTGGGCAGATCTGGAGGTCAGGAGATTGAGAACATCCTGGTTAACACAGTGAAATCCATCTCTACTAAAAATACAAAAAAAAAAAAAAAATTAGACAGGCATGGTGGCCAGGTGCCCGTAATCCCCGCTACTCAGGAGGCAGGAGAATCACTTGAACCCAGGAGGCAAAGGCTGCAGTGAGCCGAGATTGTGCCACTGCACTCCAGCCTGGTGAGAGAGTGAGACTCTGTCTTAAAAAACAAAAAAAAATCATTCTTTTATAAAGATACCTGCATGCATGTGTTCATTGCAGCACCATTCACAGTAGCAAAGACATGAAATCAGCCCAGATGCCCATCAGTGATAGACTGGGTAAAGAAAATGTGGTACCATGGAATACTATGTAGCCATAAAAAGGAACGAGATCATGTCCTTTGCAGGGACATGGAAGTCGTTATCCTCAGTTAACTAATGCAGGAACAGAAAACCAAACACTGCATGTTCTTACTTAAATGTGGGAGCTGAACAGTGAGGACAGTGAGAACCATGCGTCCCCCACAGACACATGGAGGAGAACAACACACATGTGGGGATCAACATACTTGGACACATGGGTAGGGCCTGTTGCGGCAGAGAACTGGGAGAGAGAGAGCATCAGGAAGAATAGCTAATGGACTCTGGGCTTAATACTAAGGTGATGGGTGGATCTGGGCAGCAAAGCACCAAGGCACACATTTACCTGTGTACCAGACCTGCACGTCCTGCACATGTACCCCAGAACTTAAAATTATTATTTTTACTTCAATGTTTATCTTATTTGACAATGTTCTTGAGGATGCAGTAAAAAGTAATATGATTCAGACTTGACCCTTGAAATACCTAGCTTTTTAACATGCTATATCACAAAATCGTAAGTGCTCATAAATCCCTTCTGCTGCACAGCGAAGCGTGAAGATTGTCTCCAAGAAACTCCTGTGAGGGGGTAAGACTCAGACTGAACCAGCCGCTTCTTGCTGGAACATCGTCTTTCCCTTGAGAAAACAACTGACAAACTCTGGACTTTGGGTTTTGCAGAGATTTTTTCTCAAAAGTGAATCCAGTGAACCCGAAGAAGAACAAACTATAGACAAGTGGTTGTTGCCAATGGTAAAATTTGAGCTGAGGCCACAAAATCACGCATGGATCAGAGGCCTGTTCCAGGCACAAGACAGATCCAGGGATTTTCACGTGACAGAGGGAGGGAAAGTTCGTTGATACAGGTTCCGATTCCACATCACAGCTGGTCTTGAGGAAGCTATGACTCGTCTAGCTGTGGTGTAGGATCAAAGCGGAATAGTCACAGTTAGCTAAAAAGGATATTAAAATACTGCTTCTTGTTCTATTAACTCATCCATGGGAGGACAGATTTTCTTCCTATACTTCATCCAGAACAACAGATTTCCACAGGCTGAGTGCAGAAACAGATACAAGCATCCGGATAGTTGCCATTCAGCCAGACACGAAAGAGACTTGAAAAGATGCAAAGTGGTAACACTCTTCTCGCCAGTTTTTTCTTTTAGTTTGACACTATATTCGTTATGCATAAAATGTTATTTATGTTAACATAAATGAGCTTACTTTATTTTTAAATGTACTAAAATATATATTTTATGAATCTCTAAGCTTTAATTATTTGTTTATTTTGGAGGTAGGATCTTGTTCTGTCACCCAGTCTGGAGTGCAGTGGTGCAGTCACGGCTCACTGCTGGCTCAAACTCCTGGACTCAAGTGATCCTCCCACCTCAGCCTCCCAAAGTGTTGGGATCACAGGCATGAGCCGCTGTGCCCAGCCAAATTTAATGTTTAACACAGTAAATTATCAATAGCTATAACTCATCTAGCAAAAACTTTTTGGGATCCTCAAAAATTGTTAAGAATATAAAGGGCTTCTAAGGCCAAAAGTTTGAAAACCAGCTTTTTAAGAGTCATTTTAAACATGGCGGTCACCTCTAAACCTCAGATTCTGTACTACTGTGAATTAATGGGACTAACTTGGCAGGTAGCCTTATGTAGAGTAAATATAACATTCATGTCAAAGTCCATTTCTCTTAAGAATATTACCTACCTATTCCTTCTGAAATTCTCAACATTAAATTTCAAAGTCTGCTTTTTTTTAATGTAGAAATTATGTGGTTACGGAAAAATAATACTATTTGGAACCCACAAAACACAGGGCCTCAGGCTTAACTAAAGCCTAAAGCATGGGTGTGTATTTCACACACTATTACTAATCGTGTAATCTCGACAACTCCGTCCTTCTGTTTAGTTTCAAAATCTTGTGTTTATCCTTAATTTTAAACAGGAAGAAATGATTTGTGCTTCTGTCTTCATTCTTAAACACAGCATCTCAACATTAAAAAAGAAAAAGGAGGGAAAAAAGTACAATCTGTTTTAAAGAGAGATCTTTGTATCAGACTAACAGTTCTCTAAAGGAAGGAAACCTGCTACTGAATGTCATCAGTCCCTTCTGCTTCTTGAAGACACTATGCCTGGCTCTTGATCTGCAGGGAACCCCCCGCCATTAATGACCATCAGTCATTTAAATGAACATAAGCAAATCAATTAAATTGGGTATATAACAAGGGAGGACTTCATTTCTATTTTAATATGCTATTTTTTTTCTTTCTGCAGGAATTTAACTGGGACATTTCCTGACTACCCTGACATTGAAGAAGGAGGGTCAGCTATTATTTTTTCTAACAAGACCACACAACAGGTACAAATATGCTTGAGAAATAAAATGTAAATATATCAAGTGACAGTCCTCTAAACTTTAAAATTAATGAGTTTATAGCATTATTAGATTTTGGTTATTTTCCTACAAATATTTACATGGAAATACTCTTGAGTGTTCAGCAATGAACACACTTTCATATTTATTCAAAGTGAGTTCATTTTTTTCCCATCTTATCTTTGAAGGAGATGTGATGACGTGTGAAGGTCACTTTCTTAGTAAATTCTGAGTAGCTCAACTGCAGGAGCCCTTCACGTTCTGGTCCCAGCCACCCTCTCCCTCTCATCTCTACGCCCTTCGCCATTGGCAGGCCCTTGGCTCCAGCAGTCCACTCACCTGTGCTCCCGGCTCATGCTGCTGCTCCTTTGAGTGTGCCATGCTCTCTCTTCCTGAGCTCTGGGTGCTCTTCTGCTTAGCGCCTGCTCCCCTGTCAAGGCCCAGCTCCTTGCCTTATTAATGTTCTTTGAGTGAAACACCTTTGATCATCTCTAAAGATGCTTCAGTGGCATTTGATGAAACTGACATCTAAAACTATTTTTTGAATGTCTTCATAAACTAGGAATAGGAAAATTCTTCTTAGCCTCACAGTATTTAGCATAGAAACCAAGAGAAGATTTGCATTATACTCAATGATGAGTCATTAGAGGCATTGTCCACGTGAAAATCGATAAGGACAATTTATCTTATCTCCTAAGGAAAATTTTCCCCAACTGCCCATCATAACCTGGGTGACTAACCCTTCCTCTAAAGCTCTGTGTTATTAACCTCACTCATTTGACACTTGCCCCGCGCTACTTCACGTGGATACTTTTCTTGTAATGCAGGGGGGCCTCCAAACATGCAACATTTTATTTGAATTTCTAGTATGCTGGTTCACCATTTACAAGCTTCTTTCATAACATTCATGTGCATGCTTTATCTATTCCTTAGCCTGCCAACTTCTCAAGAGGAAGGACTTTTAATTTGCATATATAAGCATTCAACAAATGTTTGCTGAACAAAAGAACAGAAGGCTTATCTTCTCCATGAGATTATAAACCTTCTGAGGGCAAGAACCTTATTTTACGATTCTTTAAAATCATAGAATTGAGTGCATAGTAAGTGTTAAATAATATTTATTTAGTTTTTCTTAATAAAGATAATATTAGTTTTATAGCCATGAGAACATAGTCTCTGATTTTTTAAATTAAATTCCAAACTTTTTCTTTCTTAAGGAAATATAACTGTTAAGTCTGTTGACAAAAATGTCAAAATCAAGAAAAGAATAATTGCTATCAGAACTATTGGTGAATATTTCCGTGGACATTCTAAAAAATAATTAAACAAGAAAAAGAAAAGAAGTGATAAATATTTTAAAGTGATAATTTTATCATTCCTATCTCCGTAGGAAACCTAATAAATTTAACAAGAAATTATATTGACAAATTATACAGAATTGTCCAGAATTATGCTGACAAAATCTCACTGAAGAAAATGAAACTTGAAGGATAGACTGAACAATTATCTGGATAAAAAGACTCAATAAAGTAGAAATACACACTATATTTTCATTATTCTATGAAGTTAAAGCAATCCAATTAAAATTAAAACAAGTTTTTATTGACGTAATTATTTTCAAGTATCTGAAGAATGAATGCATGGAAATATTCCAAAAGTTTATTTAAAACTATAATAAGAAACTTTCCATATTGATATAAAACAAATTATAAAGATATGAAGTAGCCAAAACACCACAATGCTGAAAAATGAATGGGCAGATAACAAAAAAAACAGACATTTGTTGAGCAAATATTCCGTGCCAGGTACGACGCAAGCACTTTATATGAGTCAACTCATTTAATTTCTCCAAACTCTGAAAATAAAAAATCTGCAAATTATATATGCAAATTAAAAGTCCTTCCTCTTGAGAAGTTGGCAGGCTAAGGAATAGATAAAGCATGCACATGAATGTTATGAAAGAAGCTTGTAAATGGTGAACCAGCATACGAGAAATTCAAATTCGCATTTAATAAGTTGCAGAGCTGAGACTCAAACTCAAGTAGTCTGACTTTAGAATAGTGTGCTCAGAAGCTGAATCAGGTATATATATCAGAATTCAGCAGTCTAATGATGACATTTCAAATAAATGGGGAAGGACAGCCTAATAAATAATATTATTTAGTAAATAATAATTGGCTCATCATTTGGCAGAATCAAGTAAAGTCTTCCTTATTATACAAAACAAATTTCAGATGAATTAAATATTTACATGTAAAAATGTTAAACCACAAATTACTAAAGAAATTGTTTGAATTGGAGAAAAATTTCATAAGCGTGTCACCATAGGCAAACACCATGCTCATATATTTAACTACATAAAACTCAAATAGCAAAATGGCCCAAAAAAATCCCAAATGAAGTTCAAGTTTTTTATTTATAATTTATTTATAATATTATATATATATAAATATATAAATATAAATATATAATATATAAATATATAAATATAAATATATAACATAAATATATAAATATATATAATATATAATATAAATATATATATATTATAAATATAATTTATTTATAATAAAGAAATAGTAATAAGAGGAGTTGCCATAGGTCAGAAGTCAACATCCTTTTTTTTGGAAAGGAACAAACAGTAAATATTTTAGGCTGTGGCACATACATTCTCTGCTGGCAACTACTCAACTCTGCCAATATGGCATTGATATGGTTTGGCTCTGTGTCCCCACCCAGATCTCCTCTTAAATCCCCACATGTCAAGGGAGAGACCTGATGGGGGTGGTTTCCCTCACACTGTTCTTGTAATAATGAATTCTCACAAGATCTGGTGGTTTTATAAGGGGCTATTCCTCCTTTGCGCCCTCTCTCTCTCTCTCTCTCTCTCTCTCTCTCTCACTCTCTCTCTGTTTTTCCCCTACCACCATGTAAGCCACGCTTGCTTCCCCTTCCACCATGATTATAAGTTTCCTGATGCCTCCCCAGCCATGCAGAACTGTGAGTCAATTAAACATGTTTTCTTCATAAATTACCCAAGTCTCAGGCAGTTCTTTATAGCAATGTGAGAATAGACTAATACAGGCAACAGAGAACCCATAGACAACATGTAAATGATGGGCATGGCTGCGTTCCAATCACACTTCATTTCAAAAATGAGCAGGCAGCAGGCCAGAGCTGACCCGTGCACCATAATTTGCTGACCCCTGCCATGAATGCTGTTCACGTCTGCCTTGTTTATTGCATTGACAAAGAAAACAGCCTGATGTTCTTTAACAGGGAATTAGTTAAGTAACATGAAGGTCTCTGCAACAGTAAAAACCAGGCTGTAACTCAGGGTTTCACGATCTCAGCATGACTGATCCTGCTGTTGGCCTCCCTGTGCCCCTTCCGTGAGCCCTCACGGTTAAGCACATGGGAAGTGCTCTTCCTTCAGTTCTCCATCAGAAGCCAACTTCCACTCCCAAAGCCTGCCTCAGCCCTCCTTAGGACTCCTGCCTCCTCCACTGAATTCCATGAGCACTAAATATCAACCCTATTATTTGGCAGTTTGTCAAGCCCTGCCTTTAGCGGTTATCGTTTTGATTTGGGGTTATTTCACTTTTTTTTTTACGAGTTTAGGTGTTGTCCCTCCAGCTAAATTGCCAGACACAAGTTGTATCTTGAAAGTCAATGGCAAGCATCCACACACATTTTATGTTCGGTTAGAAAGGTAGTGATTACAGAATTAAGAATGTTGGCAGAACATCTAAATTGTCCAGGAGAAACATTTTAAAAACTAGAAACAAAATAAAATTGAGGATGTCTGGTTAACACATTGAAAGAGAACAGAGGAGACCACAAAGCAGCTTAGCCTTGAAAAGCAGATGATTGAAGAGTCAGAATAGCATGATGATTACAAATCGCAGCTCCCCCACACTAGATCTGAAACCTTAGACAAGCTTCATTCCCCCCAGCCCCCGATTCAGTTTTCTCATCTATAAGTGGGGATTACTAGCAATACCTACCTTCCTGTACTGATGTAATGATTAGATGAGACAACACACATGAGGTACTTAGAACAGAGTTTGGCACATTGAAACCCTTCAGAAAATCTTAGCAGTTGTTAGTAACGTTAATAGTAGCAGTAATAGTAGCCATTGTAGTCAGAGTATGAGTAGAAAGCAGGCCAAGCATTATCAGTATAACAATATACATACAGGGTCAAATATATATTAATAAAACACAAAAATAATACAAGTATTTTTTATGAAATGAGCGTAACCTTGATGCCAAACCCCCAATAAAGATTGAACACACACAAAAAAACACAGACCAGTCTCCCTTATTAGTATTAACACAAACATTTTAACTAAAGTATTAGCACGCTAAAACCAGCACCACATTAAATTAGTAAAACACCATAATCCAGTGGTGATTAGTCCAGGATGCAAGAACGGTTTGGGTTTAGGATGTCTGTGAATGCACTGCATCATATTTAAAAATCCAAAAGGGAAAACCATAAGCTCGTCACTGTGGAGGCTGCAGGGGCATTTTACAAACTTAACATCCATTCTTGATACTTAAAAATAGAACTTTACAAAATTGGAATAGATGGATACTTGCTGAACATTATAAAATATTTCTTAGTTCAAAACGCACTATCATGCTTAAATAATTCACTAGAAACATTTCCACTAATGAATGTCAGGAAAAATACAAGAATGGCCACTATCACTACTATTATTTAACATTCTCCCGCAGGAACTACTAAACACTGTTAGACAAGAGAAAGAACACAGAGATACAGAAAGGGGAGATAACTTTTCTCACATACGTTCAATACTTGGAAAAGCAAAGAGAATAAACTAAAAAACTACTTTAAATAATGTGAGAAACGAGATGGGGGATAACAAAATTAATATGTAGAAAGCAATAGCTGTGGTGCATACAAACCGTAGCTAGCTAGAAAATAGAATGTAAGAGACCATTTATAACAGGAACAA